AAAGACTAGTCCTGCCACCTGAGAGCTTATGCTTCAAATCCTGTGTTGCAGACAACATAGAATCGGATCATCTCAGATCTCTGCAGAGACCTTTCTTACAGGAATAATTTAGAGGGAGAGATACTGCACAGCATTTTAGTAGGACCTTCCTTTTTCCTCATTGTTTTTGACCAGTATAAAACCACCTCATTTCCTAAAAGCACTGGCAACATGTACAACCTGCATGAATGTCCCTTTGTGGCTGATTTCAAAAGCTAGTGCAGGTGCTTTTCTGTTAATCCAAACTCTGTGGTCCAACAAATTTCACAGATAATTGTGCAAGGAATATTGAGGTTGCCTCTTGAAAGAGTTTAAAAAAGACTGCAAGAAGATTGAAGAAAAGGGAACAAAAATTCAAGCATTAAGAAAATGTATGTCTGAGAGCATCATTGACTGTAACACAGTAAACTTCAGTATAGATGAACAAATTATATATTATTCAAAGTCCTTGAAGAACACACAGACATAACCACCTACTGACTGTACAGAATGGATCAATGCCACTGGAAATTATAAGGTACAAAGCACATTATTCACAGTATAAAAGTGACAGTATTAAAATTACAAATATCTTATATTCCTATTACATTTTTATAGCAACCATATGAAGTATTAGAACTGAGAGAATATTATCAGAGCTTTTCCGTTAATATTTACTCAGTAACCTCATGGGCTCACTTGGCCTCTGTTCCCACCTCCTTCACACTGGCTCTTTGTGACCAGTCCTGTTTAATGATATCCTGGAAAGAATGTGGGTAGCTGCTGCAAAGTGCAGTGGAAAGCAAAAGTGTGTACCCTTACAGGGAATGAAAAACTTCCAAATAGGAGAATTTTCACATACCTACATCTAGAGTATAGAAAAGGTGCCTGCAGTAACAGTAAAATGAGAGAGAGCGTCCATCAAAGTGTGAAGCTAGAGGGGTCTGCACACTAGTCTGAGCTGCAAACTCAAGCCATTTGCTGGCCCTGGCCATCTCTGAAGTGTGTGGGCAGGACAGTAGATCAGAAGTTTCTCTGGTACCTTCAGACATCCAGTGGACACACTGTGTCCAACAGCATCACTGCGAAGTAGGTTAGTAACATTCTCAGCTGCACAGGTCCCCTGTGCTCTGGAGGCAGAGGACTGGGGACCCCCTGGACATGCTTTCCCCAGAAAAAGGGACCTTCTCAAGCTGCTGTAACACAAATTAAGTGAATTTATTTGGGACTTGCTCTTGAGAGGTATTTGGGCAAATAGACGAAATAATAACAGCCATGACAGAGAGCTGAACAGACGCCCATGGTGTGTGCTATTGTCAAGTGGCATACAAGATAAATTGTAGGGAGGGAAGGGAGCATTCAAAACCATCCTTAAAAAAAAAATAAAAATAAAGGACTTGAAGCAGTGAAGGGAATCATGAAAGTAAGTATGCAACAGAAGAGGCAAAGAAACAGGAACAGGCATCACTGTTTCATGACAAGATTTGGCTTTTGTTTTGCTCTCACTGTCGCTACTACATAATTCATCGGTGACTGAGGCAGGTTTTAGGACAGTGTCTACTGAATGAGTGGCAAGAAATAATTTATAACTTCTGAGGCTGCCACAGCCTGGCCTCACTATACTTTTTTAAGATGAGGCCCCAAAGAAAAAGTTCACTGGACTTGGCAGGAAGCGATGCTTGGGAATACACAGCACCTTCCTGTCCTTCATAGTACAAACAACATGTACTCAGCCTGAATTTCAGCTCTGTCAAGAGATGGACTGCATACATGGGTTCTATGTATTATGATGGTGTGCTACTCATGATCTCACAGCAAGAGGACAAAAGGACCATTCATCACCCCTGATACTTATTAAAAAGGTTAAGTTGACTCCTACGTATAATTGCATTCTCTCCTAAACAGAAAACAAAGCTAGCTCTCCACACAGTCCCACCCACGCAGCTCAGTCAGGTCCTGGAGCAATGGCTGGTAAGAGGAAGACAATGTGATTTCTCCTCTGTAACATGAACTCAAACTGTCAAAGCATCAGCCTTGATGAGGTGTTTTCAGATTAAATTGGACCAATAAACACCAAAAGCCTGATTCTGATCCCATTAAGTCACAGTTTGGCCAATGGTATAAACAGGCCAAGACTGAGGTTCAGCTTGTTTTATAAACACTGCTAAATAGCCATCAGGTGGAGATGGTTTGAGGCAATGACCAACCACAGATGGGAGTCAAACTGCTAACATGGGATGTCCCAGTCCTTGTCACTTCTCAAAGATGACCAGTCTGTTCAGGTATCAGGATGCTACTGTACCTCAACACCCATGGATTTTTAATTAATGGACCCAAGCAACCTTTCTTACCGACAGATTATGGTTTGAAGTTGTATACAGTGTAAAACTCAGAGTGAGATTAAATGGTCTCAATCCTTTCAGTATGGTAGGTAAAGAAGGTAAAAAGTTGTAGATGACCTTTTGAAATGTCCCCATGTACAAAAGAAAGAGCAAATCCCAAATCTTTGTGTGAGTTGAAGTACTAATGTCAATGGGACTCCCATGGGAAGTTCTAGGAGTTAGCCTTAGCAAGAACAGAACCACTAAATAGGTCAAAGTTTTGACTTAAAACAGGTCACTATGTCAAAAGTGACAGAGCAAAGTCTGGGATAAAACAAAGGCCAAAGAAAATGCCCCTTCTATTAATTTTTATGAGCAGCATATTGGGCTTTTGAACCGTTCACCAGCCATCTACAAAAGAAGCTATGGGCTGACTACAACAACCAAACTTGAAAGGGGAAGACGTTCCTTTGTAGTTCACGTTTGCTGGCTTTGAAGTCACTGAGAGTCTTACCAGTGACTTCAATGGGACTAGCTTTGCACTTTTATATTAGCCATTGTTTTATCCTTATTCCTTTCAAAATTCCAGACAATAACAGTTCTTTTTATTGAAATCCTGACAGAGCAATTAGGCTCCAGTCCACACCTGCACCCAGCTTTTTTTCTTAACACAGTGTTCTTTGAGCTACTTTTCTCTGAACAGAATTATGAGATCTGAATTAATGGTGTCTCACTGCTCTATCCAGTGCCTCTGTTTTTCATGACCTGCTGAAGAACATGAAATTCTTCAAGGCTTGTACAGCTGATCTTTGGTTAAGACCAGCTGTAGGTTTCACCTACAGTTTTATGGCTGTGCTTAACAGAAAAGGAAAAGCTTCTTTTTATCAGGGTAATTAGGCAATAACAGAATGTCAGAATGTGGATTAAAGCATAATCATTCACAGGTGCATTCATAGTGTGTTTTTAGTCATGAGTTCAGAAGCTGAATCACATTCCCAGTGTTACAAGCTATGAACCACTGCCTCATAATTTAATAATTTGAAAATGTTTTTGAAATAATAAAACATTTTCTTTCTATCTTTACTTTATAAGCTGGATACATATACACCACAAATACTGCCTGAGAAAAACATGAGGTTCTCACCCCTCCCAGGTACTCCCAATCTCTCGTTTTTTGGTATTGAATGTGCAAGCTTCAGAGCTTTGTCTATACAATCTTCCTGTTCACAACACCCACCAATACTCCAGACTAACTTTGGGTTACAACTGGCTCAGCCCCTGCTCCTTACTAGTGCCTCTGCAGCATGTGATTGAGCAAAGGTACCCAGAAGAAACCAACGTTCTCACCGTTTGCTTGTACAGCTCCTCTCTGTCACTCACTTGAGGAGCTGTGTGCCAAACGATAGATCCAAAGAGAAAATGTGGGGTGCTTCCAAAACCTCCAGCTACACCACCAGTCCTGGAAGTCTGGACATGGGAAGCATGAGGAGATCCCAGGACAAAGCCCACCTCAACTCTAACTGAAACAACTCCTTGCTCTTTGAAGCATAGAATCATAGAATCTCCTAGTTGGAAAAGACCTCTGAGATCATTGAGTCCAACCGTACCTGTCCACTACTAAACCATCTCCCTGAGCACCCCATCTCTCCATCTTTTAAGCACCTCCAGGGATGGTGACTCAACCACCTCCCTATGCAGCCAATTCCAGTGCCTGAGAACCCTTTCAGTGAAGTACTTTTTGACATCCAATCTGTACCTCCCCTGGAGCACCTTTAGGCTGTGTGGTGGTATAAACAATGGCACCAGATATTTACCAGAAAGAACAGCAAGGAATTTTTACGAGATATTCTATTTCACAAAGCTGCTGCACAGAGGGATTCTGCAGCACAGAGCGGTTTGTTTGGGAAGGGTAACTAATGGGATTAGTACCACTTACTCCCCGTCTTCTTATGCGATTTATATTTTGTTAAGCACTTCCAAGCCACGGCTCTCTTCCCAATTGTTGCACGGTTTCACCCTGCAGCGGTGGCAGGGGAGCCTCAGAGAGGAATACATCCTGTGGAGCTAGACCTGATATGAAATCCAGACACAAATAGCATGGTGTTTTTCCTTCAGCAAAAAAATCCCCATGACTAGAAAGAACACCAGTGATTTCAAAAGACAAAGATTTTTTTTTTCCCAGCTTTCTGTAGTGTTTATTACAGGGTGAGACCACAGGATTCATTTATTTATCTTTTTTTGTGTGACTGACTTTTCAAATGGCTAATTAAATCAAAACGAACGGCTGTTATCCTTCAAAATACTTATGAAACAAAACTAATGTGGCAGCAGGAGGGCCCTGTGAAGTGACACAAGGGATAATTTTGTCCATTTATTTATTAAAGGCTTGATCCTGCCACAGAATCTGTTATACTTCTCTAAGTACCTGTATTGAATGCTATACTCTTGGTTTTGTGAGTAAATCTTAATGTGACACGTATGCACAGAACCATACGCTAAAGCAGCAGGCAAGGTGGTGTAAATGCATGATTATACTTATAGACTTTTCTGTTTCATTAAATAGAGAACACAAGAAAGTTCCTATGCATAATCTATAGACTTAAAACTATTTACTGGATGGTATACAAACAGAGACATGTATATGCAGGAGGAGCTACTTGCCATCAACACAGGAAGGTCTGTTTCTTGTAGTCCCGGCCACTTTCCCAGGTAGACAGGAGCATTTTACTGTTTGTGATCTTTCCTCAATTCGATTCTTATTACAGCATCTGTGTGCTGCTATAACTTCACACGTTCCTCCTTCTGGCAAAAAAAAAAAAAAAAGAAAAGAAAAAAAAAAGGGAAAAAACAAAAAAAGAAAAAAAAAGAAAAAGAGAATATTGACACTCTGATTAGAAAGAGCAGCAGTGGATAATCAAAGCACCCAGGTGTGCTCCTGTCTGTGTGTCTGCACAGCTTCTATACAGGTGGGATTACAACGTTATTTCTCCCATTGTGCGTGCTCCTGAACAAGCCAGGTGCTGGTATACTTCAGTTTTAATAGGAAATGTAAATGAATATCCCTCTATGGTAGATATAGCTTGCCTTATATTAGCTTCTCTAACATCAGCAGAATTTTTATCCTAAAAATGACTGTGGCAAGCTCTGGGGGTGAAAGTAACACACTACAGTAAATGTGCAACAACTGTTGGCTAATTTTATGCTTGTAATATTGGAGGCCTCTTTCCCCAAATATTCTCTCGTACAAGGACAGGGGCTAAGGGAATTCATCTAGAAATAAGCTTTTTTATCCAAACATTTGATTCTATGCCAGTAGTCAGCCCTTAAGGAATGACAATCAGCCTCTCCACATTACAAGATGGTCCAACAGCCCTTCCCTTTGCTCCCCCTCTCACTAAATTGACAGTTTTAAGGCAGAAAACATTCCCATTGTGTGCAAGATCACCAGGTTTAATTTGTCTTCTGCCTAATTGTTCTTTATGAACATTTGCAATAATTTGATCAGGTGGAGAACACAAAGGAGTGACAGACGGATAGACAGTGGCTTAGGGTTTATGAATACTTGGTGTCTGTGGCATATGCTACGCACAGAAATGAAGTGTGAAGTGTATTATTCCCGTTCACCTTAGCAGTGCGGTGCAAGGAGACGAGACACCACAGTGGGCGAACGCACTGCCCAAGTAATTTCTCAGTTTGGATTGTATTTAGCTCATAATCACCCAGTATTTAATAGAGTCAGTCTGTTCCCCACAGATATTTGGCTACTTTATGAAACTGTGGCATAAATTTGGCAGGATTTGTTTAAACTTAGTACAAAACATCATGCACAGCCTACTCAAGAGCAGGATGTGTATGAAGGTTTTCTAGAAAAAACATTATTTCTTGATGCTACCGTGAAATGCTAACTGCACACTGCTTTCACTATAGCATAAAAAGCATTATTCCTGTCTTTGGTTTTGACTCTTTTCAAAACAACTTTGAGAGCTTTTGAACTCTATAGCAACCCTGCAGCCAGGTAGGAGAATAAGCAGTGTGGAGATGCTGATCCATATCTGGCTGTGAACAAGGGATTTTGAAGAGGTTTGGGAGACTGGTGGCATCTTTCTGCTCAGGAGCGAGTCCTGATGATTCTACAAATGTGACATTTCAGTAGTGAAGCACTGGGGTAGGTGGGAAGGGAAAAATTATCTCTTGACTATATGTTGTTAAGATCATATGGTGGTGTGCCATAAGGTATACCCACAGTATTAAGTGGTACAACAACTACCAATGAACAGGGATTCCATAAACTGTTGAAATGTTTTATAATATTAAATTTTCAAACCACTGGCCTTCCAGGGTAAGTCAGTAGATGAAAGCCTGTGGAAGATCGTTAGGGTAAACGAGCTTAGGTTGCGTGGTCATGGGGTTAAGCACTGATGAGTTTGCAAGCATGAGACACGACTAACTCTGCAGTAAATATTTAACTCATCTGGAGAGAAATGCTGCTTCATGTATTAGTTATTAGGTGCGTTTGGCCTGCTGACACAAGCTTTTTGAAAGGCAATAGATGCCCCAGAAGAGAGATTCCCAACAATTCAGAAAGCCATGATCTGACAAACAGTCTTTTAAGTGTCTCTTACGAGTAAGAGGAATTGTGACAATCAACTCAGTCCCAAATGCTTGTATTTTTCTATGAAGTAATTCTTCAGATAAGCTCCCTGTTCCCCCATCCAAATCACATTAAAAGCAATGAAAAGATTCTCATCGGTTTAATTCATCTTGTAGTCATGCCCTAAGAGAAGAAAGATTTGTGATTTTATTGATTGCAAGCCCAACAATAAAGATAATGTATGCAGTAATAAGCATTTCTAATTTTAGACTACATAGACTGTGTGGTAAATATTTGTGAATAAGCTAAATGCTTAATTTTCTCTATTAATGTGCTGTATGAGTCCTAATAACCACATGAGCTAGTCTTCCTTATTTGGTTTTCTATTAAAAATAATGCGTTGTGGTGGATGAGCTTTATAACACCTTTAATTGTTCTGTGGAAGCTCAAGTTGCTGCAGCAATAAAGAATTTAACTCAAAGTGTATAGCTGTTTAGGAGTGCCAAAATATAACGAAACTATAAAAGCAATGAAAAATAACTTTTTTTACCACTAGACAGTTAAGTACATTAATCGGAACTTTTATCGGCATGGACTATAACTGTAATGCAAATAATAATAATAACAATAATATAAAGGCCTTTTCCAGTGCTGACAAAGGAGAAAAAATCCATCTCACATGGAGAAAGTTCTGCATGCTACAGGTTTTCCCAGAAAATTTGTTATATGGGATCAGATTTTTCCCTTAAAGCACGTTTAGCCTATGAATTACTACTGGATAGCACTGCATGCAATGTCTTTTACTCGTATATATTTTACCAACCATGCATATACATGTTAGACTTTTTAAAAGCCATATAGAAAAAAGGAATAGATAGAAGCACCCAGACAAATACAAATGGACACAATGAGACTAGGAAAATAAACCTCACTGAAAAAGCACACTCTTGATTATATTATTTACAAAAAAAATATATGCCACAAATATATTGTGTGGAGAGGTTCAACTTAAATTGCTATTTCAGCTGTACAAATGAGGAAACAAGTTAGAGCAGGGAGAGAAATATGAATCAGTCTTCAGTTTCCACTGAAAAAAAATTAACATGTTCAGATGTATATGTGAAGTACCTTTTTATTCTGTGATTTTTAATTTTTATTTCCAACTTTTTTTTGGGGGGGTGGGGCAGAGCACCAAGAAATGCTGTAATACTGAGGACTTCTGCTCCCAAGAGTGATTTTATATCAGTGGTTCTTCTAGATCATGTGAAGAACTGGTGAGATGTTAAAGCAATGGGAGCTCTGAAAAAATGTGAATTACTGACCTGATAGTCTGGGAGTGCAGCAGAAGTTTAAATCCTTGACACAAGGATTTTTTTGGGAATTTTATGGTCTATTGAGCTAAGGTAGCTTCTGGCTTTGTTTCCACAATAATAGCCTCATCCAACTCATTCAAGTCAACAGAGGATTTGTCATTGATATTAAAAGGAGAGGAAAGGGCCCTAAAATCCTCTAAGTAAGTGTCTGCTGAATATTTTGTTGACAGTTACATTTCATGAAGTGGCTGCTTTAGCAACCTGGCAAGAAAAATAGCTCATGGCTTTTTAATTCCCTCCTGCCCCAAGAAAATCAGAAAAAGATTAGAAATGGAACTTGCAAATCAGGAATATCTTTGCTCTTTCTTCAAGAAGCTTCAAACATGAAAGCAAAAGTCCTAACATGTCTTATATCCTCTTCACATCAAACATTAACAGGACTTCATAGTAAGAACAGCTGATCCTTTCTGAGTGCTCAGTTCACAGAATACCCCAAACTTTGCATGAAAGAAACGAGATGCCTACCAAAAGAAGAGGGATAGAACTGGCTGCAGGGAAGGATTCTGGGCTGTTGAAGATGGCAACTATCTGTGGCATTACGACTCTGCTCATATTTTCTAGCTTTTCAAAAGTCACTGTTCTGCACAGTAAAATATGAAACGGTAGAAATTATCCATCATTCTTACTGTAAAACAGAGAAAACTTTTTTATCTTGTACATAGTTTAATTCTAATTGGAGGACACTAAATTCCTGAAAACACATTCGGGTTTTTTTTCTAATATAAAGCCACCTTGAGTTTACATACTGCAGAGTGAAATATTTTATCATAAGTAAAAACCTATTGTGGGTGGCTATGATTTAAAATATCTAATCATCTATAGGGTCTGAGTGCATGCCTGGCAGAAGCCAAAAAGCCATTCTCTAGTCATCTCTGTTTTTTATACCTCTAGTTGAGAGGTAATAATAAAAGCATATTTTGCACTTCAAAATTATAACTCGTCTCTGTATTCCAGCCAAGCCTGAACTTATCAGTAAACAAACATAAAAAAGGCAAACAGCAGTACTGATTTGTGTTATACATTGTGGAAGTCATTAACTATGACTCAGGTAGCACAACTTATATGTTCTCTCTTTGACAGTGATGACAATTTAATAGTATTTGACTCCGCTGAGTTACATGGAGCATCCTGCAGCAATGAGAGAGGTTGTTTATCAAAATGATAAACATGTTTTCATTTCCTCCTTGGCTGCATGTATGTGATCAGAAGTCTAAGGCCATCAAAAATTCACTTATTCTGGCCACCAGGCAGCCATTAAGCTATTCGGGACCATCTGTGCTTGAAATGAGTTCCACTTAATGGACCTTCCTAGGGCAGGTCAGTCATAATGAATGCATGTGTGCATGAATGCATGAGCAAAGCAGCGCTTAGGTGAGAATTCTTGGGTTGTTTGGCGGAGGCACAGACGGTTGATAGATAAGATATGCCTTTCTTTTTGGGGTCATACACCCAGTGATTTTAGAATTCAGATCCTCTGTTACATTTGCTTCTATCTCATCGCCAATGCACCAGGCAACCTGATGCTGTTGAAGGTTATGTAAGGACTTGTTCGTGTTTACTCTCAAAAATACAGTGATAGCCAAACAACTTTACAGGCTTTGCTGGTCAGAGTCTGCCCTCTGTTCCACCATAAGCAACCCACCATGGGAATACAAGCAAAGGAAATAATATAGACAAATTCTCTCAACATTTCCAGACAGTTTGTTAGAACTATTACTGGTTTTCCTAGCTCTGTTTATTCGTACAGCCTCAGCTAGACAGTCTAGTTGTAGCCTGGAGAAAAGGAGGCTGAGGGGAGATCTTCCCACTTTCTACAACTCCCTGAAAGGAGGGTGGAG